TATCTGTGTATCTATATCTCTAATCAACTATTCTCTCTCTCTCTCTCTCTCTCCCTCTCTCTCTCTCTCTCTATCTCTCTCTCTCTATCTCTATCTGTGTGTCTATTTATATCTGTGTCTATATCTCTAATCAACTATTCTATCTATCTATCTATCTATCTATCTATCTATCTATCTATCTATCATCTATCTAATCTCTGTGTGTCTATTTATATCTGTGTGTATATCTCTAATCAACTATCCTCTCTCTATCATCTATTTATATTTGTATGTCTATATCTCTAATCAACTATTCTATCTATCTGTCTATCTATCTATCTATCTATCTATCTATCTATCTATCTATCTATCTATCTATCTCTTTCTATCTCTCTCCCTCCATCCAATCATGTAGTTAAACCATGTAGGTATTTGGGATGTCAAATTAACTCGGACTCCATATTTTGAGGCAGGCTCTGTCTCTCGCTCTCTGTCTCTGTCTCTCTTCTCTTTTTCTTTCTCTTCCTTTTCTTGCGTTCCATCCAGAATTTCCAACAGGTGTTGTTGGTTTTTTTTAGTTTACCTGGAGATGGTAGGTACTCCTGCACACAAAGGGTTCATTTTAACCTTTACCCTCCAATCCTCCTGCAAGCCTCGTGAGAGAAGGTCAAGTCCCTTCACTGCAGAGTGGAAGAGAGATTTACGCAGAGTTTCAGTGCCGAGGATCCGAGCTTAGAGTACAAACTGTTGGGGCTGAAATAGGAACCGTCTGGGCCTCCGTTGTTATTGAATTCTTGGCCAGGATCTCTTTGAAACTCTCGACTTTCTTCTTCCTGGAACGTTTGTACAAAGGATTAAGACTCATTTCTATTTCATAAGCCTCTCATAGAATCTCCCATCCTTGGCTTGTTTGCGTTTCGAGATGTTTTCTGTCTTTTCTCAAATTCAACCCAATCTCCCATGGAAGAAGAAATCTTAGGCATTTTCCTTCTGTAATCCTGCAGAAGACTGAAATCAAATTCAGAACAGATATGTTAAAGAGCTAAGGTGAGGGGGAAAAAAAGAAATTTAATTCAGATTTCTGTAAGAAACAAAACAAAACCGAAGGCCTATTCTTATTTGTTCCAGAGTGCATGGAATAATAGATTGCAATCAGAGGGAAGCAAAAGAGTTCTTCTAATTCTTGGGTTATCTGGTTATCATATTATGAGCTTTCAAAGCTGTCTTACCTGGCTATTTGAAGTACCTGTTTGCGGCTTTATTCCTGCTCCCCAGCAATCAAAATGGGTATCTAATTTGGGATGTTCAGTAGTATGGCATTCCTAAAAATGGTAAATTAATAAATGGACCCCCCCTTGGCACTTCACTTGGGATTAAGTCCTTTCATTTCCTTCCTTTTCCCTGCCCAGAATTTTGAACGAGACCTCCGCCGTTTCTCTAAGAAGGAGAAAAAGATGACTCTCAACAGCCATGGCCTCTATCACCTGGAGCAGGTAAGGGGTCGCGGGAGCACGAATCTCAAGAAGGAATGATTTTGGATTTGGCACCTTTGGAGAAAACTTTTTTTTTTTTTCTGCAAAGGTTCAGGGCAGGTGGTGTCATTAGAAGAGGTAGTGAGACCTGGATACAAATTCTGGTGTAAGAATACCAAGGAAATCTTGCCCTTAAATGTCCCAAAGGTGTTTTTTTTATTTTTTTTCAAGAGGACTTGGACTTTTCTGGTTTTTTCTTTGAAGATGTTGCTTCTCATCCAAGAAGCTTCTTCAGTTCTTGAAGAAACTCTTCAGAGCTGAAGAAGCTTCTTGGATGAGAAGCGAAATGTCTTCAAAGAAAAAAAAACCAGAAAGTCCAGTTGCCTCCTGAAAAAGCACCTTTGGGACAACCTGGAGGACTGAGAATCTCTATAGATGCATAGACATCTTGCACTGAGATGTCCTGGTTCTTCTCCTGATCGGCCTCCATAAGCCCTCCGGTCTTCCACCACGGGACTGTTTGATTCTCCTTTGTTAAACTCTGAACTTCCAATTCCTCTCTGTTAAGTGAGGATGTGCGGTTGTGGCATGTTTGTGTACTCGAAAGGAATCAAGATGAGCTCTGGGCCCTGTGATGCTACTAAATCACCCAGAAAGGGAGTCCATCTGGAACATCTTACTTCTCTTCCACCTCCCCTAACCTTCCCTGACCTTTTCCAGGGGTCTAAAGACCTGGCTTGGCCAGTTCTGGCTTGGGACCCCCAAATTGGGGAGCATCACAATGGAGGGAGTTGATCGAGTAACAACCAATCCCACAATTCCCCCTGTCCTGCCCCCACCATCCCCATTTGTAATTGGATTATAGTAAATTTTAGCAGTTGATATTAATGTGTGTGTGTGTGTGTTTGTGTGTAGAAATAGACAGACAGACGACGATAGGTAGGTAGGTAGATGAATAGATAGGTTGTGTGAATTCACACACACAGAAAGATTATAGAGACAGAGTTAATGATAGAGACAGAGATAGAGTGTGATGACCAAGGGCGTGACACAAAATTAACCAAGTCACAAAAATAGAAGAAAGTCCCTTCAATGTCTCCAACTTGGCCCCAATGTCCAATTATCCTTGACTGGATATCAAACTCTTAAAACAGTTTACAGAGGGAGTAAATGCAATCCGCACCCAAAATAAAATCAATTTGAAATAAAAAAAACCCAACACAGCTCACTGAAGGAATTACTACAACAGGCAGGGATGATTAATTGCAGACTTTTACCAGATAACGCAGCAACCACAGTGGGGAGGAAGCCAAAACACAGATAAGCTCCGACAGGAATGCACGCTTTGCTTCCAGCATCTTTGCCATATACAGTTTGTCCTTTTAACCAGTCCACCCAGCTGCAGCCCATGAAGGGGATCAGGGCCCCTTCCTCCCCCGTAGATCACGCCATTCACATTTCTCCCTTATCCGCTCCTCCCTGCGTGCCCTAGGATGAAGAGGGGATGGGATGGGGTCTTCCTCTGAATGCCCATCTGGCCTGTGCCCTTCCCCAGTTTCCTCCACAACCTCTGCAGCCACACTCCCACTCCCTGTCAGCTGTTCCATCTCTCCCTCAGAGTCAGACTCCAACAGGGGCATGACATAGAGATGATATAGATTATAAACCGCCCAGAGATAAGATAGGCACCAATAAATTTTATAAATAAATAAAACTCCCTTTTACAACCTTATAATCCCTTAATTCGGGGTAGAGTCAGGAGCAATTGGATGGAGCTGAGCGTTTGCTTGCCAGATGCCCTTCCTGATGCCTATGCAGAATTCACAGCAGACTTTTTTTTTTCTTTGTTCCCGGGGAGAGAAATATCTGCCGTTAGCTAGGATTGAACTCTCAACCTTCTGAGTGGGAAGCGATTAGGTTCACTGCTAGGCCCCCATGCTGCATAAGTAAGTAAGTAAGTAAGTAAGTAAGTAAGCAAGCAAGCAAGCAAGCAAGCAAGCAAGCAAGCAAATAAGTAAATAAGTACATAAGGAAAGAAGGAAGGAAGGAAGGAAGGAAGGAAGGAAGGAAGTCAGTCAGTCAGTCAGTTAGTTAGTTAGTTAGTTAGTTAGTTAGTTAGTTAGTTAGTTAGTTAGTTAGTTAGGACTGGCCTTACTCTGAAATCCAGCCATTTCAGTTTGCCAATCATGAGTTCTCCAAACAATACAATTAAAACCTGGTTTAGCACAAGCTATGAATGAAGTCCTTGATTGTGCACAAGCATACATGTATGGGCGGTGATCTTGGCGATTTAGCTATGGGGGAATTTGCCAAGCATTGGACAGGATGCCAGAAGGGGGGAAAAACGGTTTTCACTGATCGATTAAGGTATATGTATTTATTTATTTATTTATTTATTTTGCCCATCCTTCAGAAAACTTTACTGCCCGCTGCCTCCGAGGAAGAGATTTTCCAGCATTTAGGACTGGAGTATATCTTGCCTGAAGAGAGAAATGCTTGAGCCGTTGTTGTGCAAAGTGCGTGTTTTTCACCCTACGGAATTCACAAATGAATGAGAATCAGCCAGGTTACATTTCATATACCTTTCACTCGTATGTGTGTGTGTGTGTGTGTGTGTGATCTAATACATAATGCATTTCTGGGTTGTGTCAATGGGACTTTAGGAAATATATCACTTTTTTTCATACTCTGTTGGTTTCGGTTTTGATTCCCTTCCCCCCACTTAAGATGGCAAAAGTGGTCCTTGACTTACAATCAGAATTGGAACCAGAATTTCTGTTGCCACGCCACGTGGTTGCTAAGTGAATTGCAACCACTTTTGTGGCCTTTTCGCTATGTTTGTTAAGGAATCGCTGCAATTCTTAAGCGAATCCAGCTTGCCCCGTTGACTTTGATTGTTAGAAGCTAGCTTGGAAAGTCACAAGCAGCAATAGACTTATCTACCGCTTCACAGGGCTTCACAGCGCTTCACAGGCCCCTCTAAGCGGTTTACAGAGTCAGCCTCTTGCCCCCAAACAATCTGGGTCCTCGTTTTACCCACCTCAGAAGGACGGAAGGCTGAGTCAACCTTTAGAAGGAAGGAAGGGAAGGAAGGAATGAAGGAAGGAAAAGGAAGGAAAGAAGGAAAGGAAGGAAGGAAGGAAAGGAAAGGAAAGGAAAGGAAAGGAAAGGAAGGAACGAAGGAAGGAAAGGAAGGAAGGAAGGAAGGAAGGAAGGAAGGAAAGGAAGGAAAGGAAGGAAGGAAGGAGAAGGAAGGAAGGAAGGAAGGAAGGAAGGAAGGAGAAGGAAGGAAGGGAAGGAAGGAACGAAGGAAGGAAAGGAACGAACGAACGAACGAACGAACGAAGGAAAGGAAGGAAGGAACGAAGGAACGAAGGGAAGGAAGGAATAGCACTAGCATGTAGCACTCATGTCCTTCTTCACAGTGCTTTTACAGCCCTTTCTAAGCAGTTTTTACAGAATTAGCAAATTGCTCCCAACAATCTGGGTCCTCATTTTATCGACCTCTGAAGGACAGAAGGCTGAGTCAACCTTGAGAATCGAACTTCTGGTAGTGGGCGGAATTAGCCTGCAATACTGCATTCTAACCACAGGGAGGGAGGGAGGGGAAGGATGGATGTAAGGGAGGGAGGGAGGGAGGAAGGAAAGGTTAAAAAAAAAGGGAAGGTAGCAACAGCAATAGCACTTAGGCTTATATACCACTTCACAGTGCTTTTCCAGCCCTCTCTAAGTGGTTTAGAGAGTCAGCCTCTTGCCCCCAACAATCTGGGTCCTCGTTTTACTGATCTTGGGAAGGTGAAAGGCTGATCAAGCTTCCAAGGTGGGTCAAATGAGGACCCAGATTGTTGGGGGCAAGATGGTGACTCTCTAAACCGCTTAGAGGGGGCTAGAAAGCATTGAGATATCAATCAATAGAAGCCTCCTGCAAGAAAACAAATAAGTCACTTCCATTTTGCTGCCCTGAACCAAGCTCAATTTAAGCTCAATTTAAGGAAGTTCAACATTTTCCTCCCACCCCCGCCAAATAATAATAATAATAATAATAATAATAATAATAATAATAATAATAATAATAATAATAATAAGAAGAAGAAGAAGAAGAAGAAGAAGAAGAAGAAGAAGAAGAAGAA